ATTAATGTCAATCTCCGCCGGCGGAGTAGTTCTGACTGTGTCAGTTATGTGTGTGAGTGCGTGTGACATTGCATGCGTGCTGGAATTCAAACACCTCGAACTCAAAATGGCTGCCTGGACGAGAACCAAGTGTCGCTGCAGGCGCGCGACTCGTCTTCCACAACAAATTCCCAACGCACGCCACTTATGTGTCGGTATTTATGAATGAGTATGTGCGTGTGTGTGTGGGTGTGCGTGTGTGTGTGCGTGTGTGGGCGTGTGTGTGGGTGTGTGTGTGCCTGCGTGCATACGTGCGTGCTTATGTTGGGCTTTAAAACACACAAGTGCCTACTTCGGGGCGCATCAGCCTGAACGTAATGTATAAACCTATTAAATATTTCTCTACTCGCATTTCGCCAATAACTGGAAAGGCATTAGCTCATCATCAATTTGTTGCTTCATGAAATTGGCGGCAATCACGTTATGTGTGCTAAGCAGACACACCCACACCCAGACACTATTTCATACACACACACAAATATTTGCTTAATTTCCGAAATGAGTTCGCATGACTTACAGTTCCTTCGTTATGCCATTCTACTTTCTCATCTCTTATGCCTTTCTCTCTCCCTCTATCTCTCTATCTCTCTTTCTGTATGTGTGTTTGTTCTTTCTCTGCTCTCTGAGTCATGCATTTGCTTTTTCGTTGATTAAATACGGAAATTGCTTGACTTTATTTAGAGTCGTGCAATTAATTAAATTAGAGCGTCAACCAACCAGTCAGGCGGTCGGCCTAAAACGCGAACAGTTTCCAGAAACCATCAAACAATTTTTTGCCTCTAAAATTCAAATAAAAAGTTGTTACAACAAAACCCATTACACACGCATATACTTACGCACATGTATATCGGTACAGTGATACCGCGATAATTTTAACGGAAATTAGAATCTTCCAGAAATACGAATGATTGGAGCAATAAAGTTCATTTTACAGCGGAAGAGGATGGGTACGGGTCACAACTTTTGCATTCTATGCTTCTCCCCTTTCGCAAGAATACATTTATGAATGCGTTCTTGTTTTCGGGAGAACACTGTACACTGTACATACAAGTTGTCATGCCGTTTGATGTTTTTTGTTCCTGTTTCCGCCTGCCATTGAATTTTGTTCTATTTTGGTGATTTTCACGATTCCGAAAACGATTTTCATATGCTTTTAATATTAAATTATCATTTGGCGTGGCACTTGATGCAAATTTAAATTTATGCAGCGCCAAACATCAACGACTAACCGCAGGACCTTGTCAAGGCTCCGCCCCCATCCATTATGGAGCCACTGTTTAGCCGAAAGTTTACGACTTTATTTCATGACAGTTTGTCATTTGAGTCGAACCCAAGCAACAACAACTAAAGGAAAAGAAAAAAGAGAAGAACAGAAAAAGAAGAAACCCAAAAAACAGTGTGGCACGTCAATGTGGCATAATGACGAAATGGCGTTTTTCCTTTGCGCGCCGCCATTCATATTTTATAGACATCGCGTTTCTGGCTGTTGCTTACACATACATCATGTATATAATAAAATAATATAAAACACATTTAGTGCGGATGTAAATGCAAGCACGAGCCATCGACAGAGGTCGTGGCGTGTGAGGTGTGGGTTGTGGGTTGTGGGCACGTGCCATAAAACACATGCAGCCAGGCGCCGCCACAAATCGGACTTAGCTTCCACATAGATATCGTGCGATGGCAGCCAACTGGCCGGCACTAAACATGCTAATGACTATATGCTATAAAACCTAAAAAAAAAAAAAAATTCGAAAGGACCCGCACAAACTAATAGTCCGAAATAATAAATGTTTAATGGGAAATATCGCATTGGCAACGGTAGCGAAAATAATGTTTAAATACATAATTAAATTGCTTGAAGTCAGAGTCAATCATGGCACTCATCGTGATGTAACGATTAAATAGTTAATTATTACAAATTCATTCGGTTTAATAACAGATGGATAGTGCGTGTAATTAAATGCACCACACTCAGCTGGCAGTACAAACTGCGGTAATTAGCTTAACATGATATTAAACGTTCAAAACATTTACAAAAGCACGCAATTATGCGAAGTGCGGCTCCAAAAATGAACTCAAAATGAACTGCGGGAGCTACGTGTTGCAAAATGTACAAATCAGAGGGTTTTTAATTTTTACACGACAGATTTCGATCAGCACTTTCACTTCAAATTAAATAAATACGTACATACTAACACATATATTCGTTATTTTTATTGAATCTTAAATAGCAATTCCTGCAAAATAAGACAAATTCAGAGTTAACTTTGAAAAACTTTAAAAATTGTAAGAAATCAAATTTATTGAAGCAAGTTTCTTTAGTTGAGTTATTCGTCTTAATTATTAAGTAATACCCTCAATACTATGTTTTATGCATATAGAACCATGATGTCGATGAACTACAGCACTTAAATCAGCTTTTTATTGAAAACTCTAGATAATTCTCATAATTACAAGTATATCAAGATAATATCGCGCTTCCTGAGTCTGATTCACTTCTTGTTCTTTTGTTAATCTTGTCTTGTTGGTAACATTTCAATTTCAGCAAACCACTTTCTCCAGAAGTCTTATTATTCCTCTTGTTGTTGCTACTGGTAATAATAAACAAATGCCCTTCACGAGCTAAAATATACAAGTATAATTTACAGCTAAACCAACCCTTTAAAAAAGTTTATTAAACGCTATTAAAAATGAATGTAAAGAAACCTACAATTTTTGCTGCCCCTATAATTTTACAACAATTCTTTTGTAAACTTAGCAAACTATTCACATATTCATATTTTATTGAACATACTACTTACGAGTACTTAGAAGTAATTCCAGCAAGTCTGTAAATAAATAATGAAATTATTAGCTTTCTTAATTTTTGTGTCATATGAATCAAATCAATAGAACAATAGAAGAGAATAAACTTATATATTTTAAATTGAGTGGAGCTGAAATTAAATATGTTTACAATCATACATAGTAGGCACTACTGATTATTGAATGGGGTTTAAATCAAAGTAAAGACATTGAGTTCCTTTACATTAAAGCACGTATAATAAATTTGTTCTCAACAATAACGAAACAAAGTCCTTCAGTTTTTGTTTAAAAAACTTTAACAAAAAATAAATAAAATATTACTAAAACTTGCTTGCCTGTTCACTTAATTGGCTTTACAAATCCGATATAAAATCTTTTTATTATATATCAGCAGAAAACAAGCTTATTAAAAAAAAAAATGAAAAAAAATAACTGTTTGTCAGAAGTGGGATTCGAACCCACGCCCTCAGAGAGGACCAGAACGCTCACATCACTGACCTTTCTGTGGAAAGGCAAGAATCTCGAATTCTTGAGTCTGGCGCCTTAGACCGCTCGGCCATCCTGACATTTTGCTGATGAGCGACAAAGCACTCAGATATAACGAAACGTACGAAATGTGATAACAAAAAGAGTCAACATTCTATTTATAGAAGACAAATCGCTGCACGAGTAACGTAAATGTAATAATGAACGAAAACTCGTGTTTTCACACCATGTGTGTGGGTCGTCGTCGCATGACTGCCAGCTATTTTTAATTAAGGCGGGGACGGTGTAGGGCACGAGAGAGGGGCAGTAAACAAAGCGAGAGTCGCCGCCGCTACTGATATATGTATGTTTGATGAAAGCTCGCGTGTGCTTTTTTTGTGTGGGTCGCACACAAACTTTAATTGCTGCATTGTTCAGAGGCAAGTGCATACTTTTAGGCACTAATTTGTTATTGGGCGCAAAAATTGTTGCCAACCATTAAAATGCTGACTGGTACAAACTCAAACTCTAACTAAAATGTAGCTGTTGAGAAGTTGGAAAATTGGTATTTGCTAGTTCAGAGAGCCGAGGTCATACACACACACCCATACACACAGACATACACACACACACGTACTCACAACATCAAACACGAGTGTAATTGCTGACTGAGTTTTCCTGCAATGGAGCGCACATTAATCCTTAGCAAGTGCAGACAGACTGACAAACCGACAAACTGTCGGAGCGGGCAGAGAGACAGAGACACAGAGAGAGAGACAGATTTTTTTCCCCGGTCAATTCGATTTCAATTTATCAAATGCTCCAGCAACTTATTTAATTGAATTTCACTTGCCACCCACCCACATTGCCATCGCATAATTTACAGAAAAATAACATTTCAATGCAAAGGACAAAAAGGGCACTTTGCACAAAAACGCTCTCCTTATTGATACAATCACTCAGCCGGTCGCAACTAATCTATTGTAAGTTGGCAGTTGGCAGTGTCCACCACTGTCCGCCCGCTCGCCTTCTACTGCACAGTGGCACACAATTTCAATTTGTGTTTATGACAAGCCACACTGTACCGTGCCGAGTCGTAACGTGAACGTAAACGTAATCATTTTAAGCGCATTCCATGCCCCATTCTCATGTCCACATCAATGCGATAAGTTCGCTTATAAATCACACAAATGTCGGTAAAGCGGCAAAGGAGCGCACTGGATCCCAAGGATGTCTGCCTCCTAGCCCGCCTGCCTGCTTGCCCGACTCCCCGCCTGCCTTTCTGCTTCGCTACGAATGCTTTTAAATCGATGAAAATCGCAAAATTGACAATGATTTTTTAAAAATAATTTTATTATTTCATTCAGTCAGGCATTCATGCAGACACTGCGGCAGTCCATCAGTGCGTCATTCAGGAGCCGTATCCCAAGCCAAGGATGCCACTGCCATTGCCATTACCAGCGCCTGCCGACGCAGTCATGCGTAAATGTAAGCGGCATTTGGAAGGCACTCAAGGAGCACTAATACAAATTTTGGGGCAACTCACAATCAGCTTGAGTTTTTGTTGTTGTTGTTATTATTATTCTTGTTGTTGCGATGTTGGTTTTTAATTAAATGACTTTCTGGATGCACGCGCCGTTTCCGACCGCAAACCAAAGCGTACCCCAAAATCATAATTTCATTTCGAGTTTCAATAAACATGTATTTATTTTTCATCTTCATTTAGCTGTTTACAATCGACTTTGTTGGATCAAGAGCTTAGGGCCAGCGCGCATCGTATTCCTTGATCACGTAGCACAACTTCTTGATGGCCAATTCGACCTGAGCATCGTCCACCTGATGATAGAAGACGGCACGAGAAAAGCTCCAGTCTCTGGCGCTGACCTTCAACACAATTCCCTGCTCAGGACTCTGGCCATGCACTCCAGCTGCCAACTCCGCGGGCTCCACACTTGCCAGTCGTGTGGCGAACTCACTTGAAGTCAACTTCGGCTGCTTGATGTGCATCAACAATATGTTGCTCTGCACTGTCGGCAAATCCACAGATACATTGGGGCTCTGCAGATCGTGTACAACTAGAAAAATAAGCATTTAAATGACATGAACATCAGATCTCAGTAGTGGACTGACTGCCTACCTTGAGCTAAGCGGCGTGTCCGTTCGTGATCCTTGCCCAGCAATGGAACCACCTCCTCCAAGGCAACCAAGCCAGCTGCAGCCAAGATGCCAATCTACAAAAAATAAATAAAATGGCACAATTGGTAATAAATGCTTCTGAAATCGAAGCTTTGATAATTGTGTTTTGTGTTAGATGGTAGCTTCAAATCGAAATTAAGATAAATATTTGAGAACTCTCAAGAAGCTTCTGTCGATTTAAGATCGGTATGTCTGCACTCACCTGCCGCATTCCACCTCCCAGTGCCTTTCGCAGGCGATGTGCCCTGAAATGGAAGCCAACGAAAATATTACAAGGTTTGACACAAAGCAATTAATTTGTGCAGCTCGCTCCGAATAATTTATGCCATCGTTAACCGATGGCTCCACACAACAGCCGCAACAACAACAACAACCACGATGAGCAAAAATACTGCGGTTAGCAACGAAGGCAACAGGAACTTTGCCAACTATAATTTGAACTTCCTGTCGCGCTCTACTCACTCGCTAATGAAAGCCTTGGAGCCGACCAGCATGGAGCCCACTGGCGCCGACAGACCCTTGCTGAGGCAAAAACAAACAGAGTCCATGTCGCGAGCAATACGCTCCACACTGACGCCCAGAGCGGCGGCTGCATTGAAGATACGTGCTCCGTCCATGTGCAGGCGAATGGGGGCGGGACTGATGCCTGGCTGGCGGAGAAGGGCAGCCAAATCGTCTAGCCAGGATAAGGGCAGCACCTTGCCGCCGCACATATTGTGTGTGTTCTCCACGACGACCAACGAGGTTATGGGCTCGTGGCAATCTTCGTGCCTTATCTTGCGCTGCACCTCCTTCAGACTGAAGGTGCCGTCTATCTCGTTCCTAATCGTGGCTAATTGAATGCCAGCCAAGTGCGCGGCGCCGCCTAAATTGTGATAAAGCACCCGTTCAGTTGTAGTTGCTCATTAAGGTGAGCTGCAGCTGCAGCAGCGGCTCCTTACCTTGCTCGAAGAGGAATGTGTGCGACAAGTCGCCGACGATGGCCTCCGTGCCGCGACGATGGCAATGAACCATAACTGCAATGAAGGTAAATTTTCATTCGCTAATCAATTTCCAATGATACTCTCTAGTTGCTCTCTACTTTCTACTCTGTCCCCACTCAGATTCAATAAAATGCAAATTCCATTAGAAATATTAATTTGGGAACGCACATAAATTGCTGGCTCGACTGGCTCGACTGGCGGCCACCTGTCCATTACGAGTCCTGCCATCAGTCCGTCCCACTCCATTGTGTGCAGGGATAATATTAAAGTCCATAAAAATTAATATTATGTTTATGGCTGCCCTTAACCTTTACGATTATGTGCGTGATGCATGATATGGGAACGCTTTGCTTTTCCCCAACTTGATGAAACTTTTCTCTCTGCTCTTCTCCCCTCCCCCTAAGGTGAGGGAACATCGCGACGCTGGCATCCCAGCTCACTTTAAACTAATAAACATAAGTGGGCCGACGGCACTCATTTCAACTAGCGTCTCACTTTATCAATATATGTATGTGGCATGCGTATCAGGCTAGGTACAGTGAAGCCCCTCACTAATTAACATTCCAACTGAATGAAAACTGTATAAACTGTTCCTGAGTTGCCTTCTAAAAAAATCTCTGGGAATTTGTGGATAGATTATGGCTTCTAAAACAGTCTGAATAGGAAGCGTAGCAAGAGAACTTTGAAGTACTTTTGTGCAAATTTATAAACTATTTTTCAAAACTCCTATAGATATATACATAGCTTATAACAAGTCATTTCAATGTACATAAATTATTGCCCAATTTGTTGTATCTTCAATTAGAACCTGCACACATCCTTTTGTAACAGTAGTTGCCGCCCTCAGCCCGTTTTTGTTTTTATTTAATTCTGTTATATTTATAATTTCTTGCGCTTTTCAACATCTTTCTATTAGGAAAAGCTGTGAAGCGTTTGGTGGGTTCTAATGTTCTCATTTCTGAAATTGCTAAGGTAAGTATTTACGAAGGTATTTTTAGCAGCCCTATTAGCGGTTTTCCGATCTCCCACTAACTCTTTAGCTTAAGCAATTCCTTCCTTCTGGTTCTAGCAAAGGAATAAATAATACTTTGTTCCTAAAATAAGTATTTCAAAATAACCCCAACTTCACTAAAAAGTTTCATCGTCAATTTTTAGGATTACTATGTATGTTTACTTATGATTCAAAAATAATGCTAATATTGCAATACCCCCATGAAAAAAGTTGACTGGCGAGCTCCAAATTACTGAGGATGTTTGTAAATTCTGCTATCTTGGCAGTGTGGTTAGGAAAGATTATTAAAAAAGCCAAGTGGCCTTTCAGACAATGCAAAAGCAGAACCACTAAGATCAGACAGATTATTTAATATCCCTATCAAACCAATACTAAAATGGAGGTGGCTTGGCCACACGTTGAGGAAGAATAGCACAGACATCTGTAAAATGACTTTTGATCCAGAGATAAGCAAAAAAGAAAACGTGGATAAGAAAGGAAAGTAGTAGCATTGGGTCCTGGAACTATATATCGAAAATATTATGACCTATGTTCCGCTCAGGAACGATATTCATTTTAATATAAATGTATTTCATTAAATTGTTAAATCAGAATGACAAGGAAATAAGAAAATAAATAAATTAATATTCACGATCAAATTATTTACATACTCCTCTATAACTTTCCATTTTTATGAATTCACCAAGAAACAATGTTTCAAAAATTTTCCATGTCAATACTCTATTGACTTTATGTTTTTTCTATTTTCAGTTTCTAGGGGCAGTATCTTTACATGCTGAAAATTCAAATATTTCCAGAATTATAAGCCAAAAAAAATTTAGTAACTAAATAAGTGTATGATGAAATGAAATCGATTGCAATCGATCGATGTTTCAAACGATGTTTCAATTTGGCAGTTATTGCATTGCATATTCTTCTCAGCAATAACACAAATGAAGAGCAACGTCTTTTATGCTAAAAATCCCACAACTGTACGCTATAATGTGAGCTCACTGTAGTTTTTGACATACACAGAACAGAATTGCTTTCACTATTCCTCAAACGAATTACATGTAATTCACGAATCCCCCGCGAGTTCTTCATGCGGAAGTTGGATTGTTTAAGGACAGACACACGCTCCTTGGCGTGCAATATACATACATAGTCATATGTACACGTCACCAGCGCCATCACCATCTCCATCACCATCTCCACTTACTCGCCAGTAGATTTCCCATGGTGCCGCTGGGCACAAACAGGCCCGCCTCCTTGCCCAAAAGTTGTGCCGCCTTCCGCTCCAATTCGTTCACGGTTGGATCCTCGCCATACACATCGTCGCCAACGGGAGCGCTGGACATGCGTTCCCGCATCAGAGGTGTGGGGACACTGACGGTGTCCGAACGCAAGTCAACGACTATGGACGAGGATGAAGACATTGCGGACCGTTGGAGTGTAACGTGAACTTCAGGCCGTTAGTTTTGCAGAGCGGTTGAGTGGCTGTCAATGTAAATGAATTGCACGAGAAATTTGCATAAGTTGTTTTATGCAAAGTTGATTTCTTTTTAGTTGCAGACTGTCTAGTTATAGTCTGTCTGGGGGCGTTGTTGCCAGCCGACTGAAATGCCAATTAAGGCGGTCAACGTCGTTTATAGACCCCACAGACAGCAAACAGTTCCGGAAATCATGAAATTGATTAGAAAAATGTTGACGTGGATTTTTTAATTGATAAGCGCGTGCAGCAAACACTACAATAGGTCATAGATAAGTACTATATTATTTTCATTGATCTCGAAAAAGAAACAATAGCATTTTTACATAATCTTCACGGCATGGCAACAGCGTATATATAAATCAACCGAATTTTAAATAAACACCAATTCAGTCCAAAGCAAGCATTGGGCACAAAGACACTTCATTGATGCTTGTCGTTTGTTTGCTTTATACAAATAATTAGCGATAAATTAACAAAAACAAAACAAGCATAAAACCTCACGCACACAATTCGAGATTAGGGAGCACACGACTTGCCGATCGAAGCTCAAATCCAAGACTAACGGCGTTTATTTATGGCAGCCCCCCATGTGCCATTAGACCTCCAGCAATGAGAGCAGCGATCGGACCATGCTAGAGAGAGTACCAGGGGCATGCCATTGCGCAGGTCTGCAACTCGCTGTTCTCTTGAGGTTGACGTCATAAGAAGCTGGACTGAGTCACATACGAGGGAGAAAATCAATGTGTTCTCATGTCCAAAATATAGCTCGCCACACAGAGCTGCTAGTCCAAAATTTGAAATTAGACAGCTGGTAAAAGCTGTCTATCTAGCTTGCGCTTATTCAAATAATTCTCACAAATGCACACTCTGTCTGAGAGCGCTACCAGCCGATCTAGTTAAAACGTAGCTGTGCAGTGAGAGCTAAGACTTTGCAGTTTTAATGGCATACCTGGTATGCGCTCGAACTATAGTTTCTCTTAGGAGAGTAGATAACAAAAAAACTCTCATTTGCTCTTCCTCTCTCTTTGTAGAATGCTATCGGACTCTAGCATTTAAATTGGAAATATGGATAACAACTTACGATATATTAGGTTTGTGCAAAGTATGTAGCAAACACGGGAGAAATCGATTGAGACATGTCTCCCCGTCTGTCCGTTCGTCTGTCCGTTCGTCTGTCCGTTCGTCTGTCCGTTCGTCTGTCCGTTCGTCTGTCGGTTCGTCTGTCCGCCATTTGTCTGGATGAACGCCTGAATTTTGGAAACGACTGAGCGTACATGGACAAAACTTGGTATGAAGACTCGCCTATTAGCTAGGCATTACAAGTTTATTCTTTTTTTTGATTTATCTGAGGTTGGTAGTTAGTGCAAATCTCAAACAACAATTGCTCGAAATTGTGGACAAAGCGGTGAGCCACAATAATGCACCAAGATCTAAGAAACAGTCAGCAGTAGACACATACATATATACAGTATATCCAAGAGAATCAAAAACTGATAGCTGAAAATATGCAATCCAATGACAGAAAATTTTATGAATATTGCATAATCCATACTCTATAATGCATGCAGTTTAAAAATGACAAAAATGTAATTCAAACATACATACCAACAGTTTATTTCAGCTTAATAAAATAACAACATTTGAATGATTCGTATTTCCGCTTGTGTAGTTCTTTTTTTTACCGAACTCAACCAATTAATGAAACCACATTGCCATCATTTTTTTACAATTTCTTTGGTATTTATTAATTAATTTTGCATTTTTACTAAATTTCTGCTATTTGCTAACATTTATCTCTTTCTATGCCAACAAACAAGCTGCACACAGCAACAAATAGGATATGAATCCTTTTGCTGATTATACATTATCTCATAACTATCCTCCTGCTCCTCCCTCCTTTCTACTAAGGTACAATTAAAATGTTACAATGGTAAAACAAACTAACTTAATTATTGTAGTAATCGCATTTAGTGTTTAACAGTAGTTTTCTTTTTCTTTTTTTTTTTTTTGAAGTACCTCTTTTTGCTGGAACTAATTCGACTAACTAATAAAGAATAATAAAACACAACATGCGCCTGGGAGCGTCTCGTTCCCAGGGAGCTCGGCTACTACGAGTACGAATAAAGCTACGCCTGATATACATACATGTATGTACATACTTATGTGTGTATGTATGTACTACATACATGTTACATGTAAGCTTAGAAACTAAATTTGAAACAAGTTTTCCTCTTTTGTTTACTTAGGATTTGTGGGGCCCTAGTTTTGCTTTTCGCGTACACATTACACTTAATTATGTATGCATACTACACATACCTGTAATTCTTGTTGGTTTAATTACTTTTGTAAAATGTATGAAAAAAATATAAATAAATATTTAGCAAATAGTTTGTTATTATTTGTTAGTTTGTTTGTTTCCATTTTTCATATAGTCTTTTAAAGAAGTTTCACTCTTGCGCAGGGCGAAATGTTTAGTTTAGTTAAGTTTTTCTTCTGTTTGTTGTTTTTTTGTTTTGTCTAGGTTTAGATCAGGTTCGCTTCCACAATGTTGCGTTTTTATACTTTTGGCACCTACTGTGGTCTAGTTTAGAAAATTTGAAGCCCAATTGTTTAATGTTGGTTTGTTGTATGCAGTTGCTGTGTTGTTGTTGGTGTTGGTTTTTGTTGTTAAAGGTACTTCATTTCATTTACAATTCACATTACATGCCGCCAACAAATTTCGAAACAATGCGCTCCCACACACGCACACATACACAGACGAACCGCACCCCTCTCTCCCCCTCCCCCACTGTCTTTCTCACTACTATTTACTTACATGGCTAACCTCTTTCGTAGGATTTACAAACAGCTAAACATAAATTACATTGATTTGTTTTATGCTTTTTGGTAGACTCGCTCAGCTCCCAAAGTGCCGCTCCGACCGCAAACGCCGTGACGCCGAGACGCCGACCTTTTACAAAGGCCGCTGCCAGGCTTAACATCTAATTTATAGACAGTACACACAGGACACAACTAACAATAAGTTTCTTTAGACTCTATCAGACAACAAGGACGACCGCTTAGCGCTATGAGGATAAATCTGCGTCGGACCCTTCCGTCTCGCCGGGCGGATTCCGTTTGATGCAGTCACGTATGCTTTGCAGTATAATGCCAGTCCGACGATCGAGCGCCTCCAGATGCGGCTCCCAGAGCACAGGACTTATCGGATCGTAGCTCAGCGATTCACGCATTAATTGTGACAACGGCTTGGGTCCGTTGTGGAACCTGAAATGTTTACGAAATAAGCATTAGACAGGATTAATGTAATTGCCTCTTACTTAGTCAAAATGTAAATCACAATTGTGTTTTCCTTAAATAATTTAACTAATTTAATTTGCAACAAAAGGAATTATTGCCTTCTTCATACTTTTATAATAACTTAATAAAGTAATAGTTACGAAAAATTAGATTCATTAAAAAATATACATTTCACGAATCATTTAAACAGGCAGACAAAAATTATTGAGAGAAATATAAAAATATTAAGAAGAAATATAAAAAATCCAACACTATCCACTACTTTGTGGAAAATGAACCCATTGGTATCTGGAAATAACATATTTATGTTTGCTTAACATTTCAGTTTCTGTGCTTATTTATTTTCAGTTCTGTGTTGTTTAGAAATTCAAACAAGCAACTAGATCTGAATCAGAAACAAAAGTTCTTCAATTTATGATCAAACCAGTCCCCAACAATTTGAATTTCGGATTACAAATGGCAAACATTTCAATGAAGAACCTGGCCGTCTTTTATTTATTTTACGACACGAGATTTACAAGAGAGTTTCGAATTACGCTTTTGGATGAATTTGGTTCAATGCCGAACGGCCTCTCCAGCCAACCAACCAACTAATACAAATTTTGCATAAAAGAAAACTCCAATATTTTCAAGGTTGTTATTTCTTTACGATGCTACCAAACCAAGGTAATTATTATGTGTTTGATGTGGTTTTTATTTAATCCTCTGATATCGTGTCAAACTTTATACTTCGATGGCTAACTATAATCTATTAATCGTTAATAATTAATAACTATTAATCTAAAGTAAGATATTTTATTACTATTGGTGGATACTCTCATCATCTCCAAGATTTAGTTTTAGTACGCCGTTGAGAAGCTAAATATTCCCAAGAGATTTCTAATCATCGTTTTACTTTTTGATTTTCCAAGAATTGCTTGATAACAGGATTTACTTACTTGCATTGAGGAGTTTTGTTATCTATCCTCCACCTTTCCCTACCTTGCATTTTCTTTAGTTTTTTAAATTAATCAATCATTTATGAAGAGCCTGCTAAGCCATTCTTAATAGAAAGAGTTCGCATTTTGGCATCAAATCTCATAGTATAATCGAGTAGATGCCATATGATGAGGCTTATATGCTACCTAGAGGTTATATTTACTTACTCCAAGAGTTTAACGAGCGTGGACTTGCGTATGAGGCAGCACTGAAGCACGGGCGCCAATATAGAGAGTTCGTCGTGGAAGGGGCGCCCAAAGCCACGTCCGTGATCCAAATGCAATGGGAAGGTCTCATTACCATAGACTCTGTAAAAGTGCAAAAAGTTATAAAAGTCAGCAAATTGCGCATACGCCTTGCTGGCGTGCGCCCGCTTAGATTTGTTGCATAATTGGCTGCAAATGTGATTAGGGGCGACAAACAAACACACTCCCACACACACACATACCCATAAAAACCTATATGCTAAGAGGAATGGTAACTTTAGTTGGGCGCCCGCTGCCTGAGCAGCTTACGGGCACTCAGAGGGAACGAACATTGCCATAATCCATACAAACGCTTTTGCATAACAAACAATTTAGCAGGCACTGGAGCCAAGCACCTGGGCGCAGTATCAACGTCGTTGACAACGACAAGTGCAACAACAGCAACAAGAGGAACAAGAGGAACAGAAGCAGCGGCAGCAGCATCATCATCAGCCCACGTCCTTTTTGTCGGTGTTGTCGTCGTTCGAAAAGCCTTCGATGATGTGCAGTCTGGTTGCAGTGCTTGGCTTATGTTGCAGATATTTTCTAACCTCTTGCATGAAAATATCTTTCCGTGGCATTGCCTGCTTGGCATGCACTGCCGTATCCATGGCCAAATGCAGGCGCTTAAGCAACAGAATCGGCAGAAGCAGCAGCAGCAGTAGGAGCAGCGTTCTCTGGCAGGCAAATACAAATACGTTGAGTAAACTACACGTAATCGCAGGCGGCAGCAGCCCATATGGGGCGTATACATAACGTGTGCGACAGTTGCAACATTGCGCCCATTGCTAATGCAGACGGCTGCTGCAGATGCTTTCAATGCCGTCACCGTCACCGCCATCGCCAAAGTAGGCATGAAGCCAACAAAGCCATTTGTGCGGAAATAAACCGATCGCATTACGTCTCTGCCATTGCAGTGCCTGCCAGCCAAGGACACACTGTGCTTGCGCACCTAGAGATGGGCTCAAGATAAAATTTGATCTTGAGAAAACATGCACGCGAATGTGCAAAACTAAAACGGAAACCAACAAAAACTAACTAATTAGAAGGCTTTTCGTTTCAATTGAAACATGTACACGTTAATTCTATACCCTGTAACCAAAGGATAGAAGCAATATAGTACTAGCTTTTATACGAATGTATGTAACACACAGAAAAGAGGAGTGGCAGTCCCCACAAAGTATATATATTCCCTATCATTATAAACAAGACAACTCGATATGAGTGCAAGGATCTTGGCAATTATAAGAGCTAGAATAACCAAACTTGCTATCCAGGTTCCCTTAAGCTCTAACCAGATCAAGTTTGTTTTTCTTTCTGATGTAACATTATGTGCAAATAATTTGCCTGAGATATGCTCCAGATTTAATGGTTTTGCAATACAAACAACAAATTTGAATTATTTGGCCCACCTATATAATATACTCAACGATTAAGTATTTCAATATGTACTCTAATTTTCTATATTAAATAGTTATTTGAATGCGTCTTTTTATCATTAAATAAAAAAAGTTGCATTTACATCGGACTTGATCTTATCAGAAGCCAAAACATAAGAAGAATAAATAGTTACAAGAAAGTTTCCTAGTCAGTTTAATTTTCTATTAAAGCATTATTATTATTACTTGGCTAATTATTTCTATGTGCATTTTTAAAAAGTTGTTATAATTTCTTCATTGAACTTTTCCTTTTTACGGTTCATGTTGATTTCAATCGCTTGTACAGGAAACTGTGATACTTACCAGCCCATCTCTATTTACTCATTTCTAACAAACATACCCATGCACGCACACACACGCACATGCACGCACTGAAATACTGGAGGGGTCGATATGCGAAATACGCCGGCAAAGTGGCTGCAATTGCAGTTGATTTATGCACTGGGAGGCTCGCAATTAAGCAGTCAACCAGCTCGGGCTCGGCGAGCTACTTACTTGAAAGTCTCGTAATGATGACGATCCATGTTTCCGGTGAGAAAGTCAAATACAGACATGTCCATTAGGTCGAGCAGGCGGCGTCCCTCATCGTAGGGCGGTATGTCGCGCACCTAGAGCGAGAAATCAAATGCGAGAATTAAAATGCAGCCACGATTCCAGCCTTTGTTGATGCCACACACACACACACACACACACACACACTGACACAGGCAGCGGCATGTCACGAGAGAATGGGGGAGATAGAGAGATAGAGGGGGAGCTTGGGAACAGGAAATGCTGGCCGACTATTTCTTAATTAAGTCAGCAAAACTCTTGTGCTGGCACAGACAAATGCCAAAGCAAAACGAACAGAATACATAGAACAGAACAGAACAGAACCAAACAGAACAAGCAACGAACAATAAAAACATTTGCATTTCATTTGAGTTTAAATGCAAATTAAATAAAAGTAACCGCAGCTTTTGCAAAGGAAGTGTTGCCGGACGAAAAACGGCAACAAGAAGCTGTACAAAGAAGTGGACGAAGAAGAAGATGACTCGACTCGAGAGTCGGTCGGCCAGCGGATGTGGAAACGTGGAAAATGGCACATAATATGAGTAGCGGTAACGATAACGGTACATACCATAGAACAGTAATTGGCATCTGTCTCCCACTGAGCCTTCTTGCGCTTGTGATAGGAGCGTCGCCATGGATGCCGCCACAACTGTAATCAAACACCATACCAAAGGAGAAAAAGCGGGAAAAGAGAGAAAAAAAGAGAGAGAGAAAATTAAATCAATTTCAATTTCAAGTTCTTCAGTACTGCTTGAGATCAAAAAAAAAAAGAGAGAAAGAAAGTGTACGAGTATGCTGAAAAGCAAAAGATTGCAAAATTATTATGCCAACAGTGCAGTGGAATCACAACTAAAATATTTATTATACTCTGTACATGAAATGTACAGAAGTATATTAGGTTTGCGGGAGCTGAAAAATGTAACAGGCAGAAGGAGGCGTGGCAGACCCCACAAAGTATATATATTCTTGATCAGCATGACGAGACGAGTCGATCTAGCCCTGTCTGTCTGTCTGTCCGTCTGTCCGTCTGTCCGTCTGTCAGTCTGTCCGTCTGTCCGTCTGTCCGTCCGTATGAACACCTGGATCTCAGAGACTATAAGAGATAGAGACACCAAATTTTGCACGAAGATGCGTTATGTGTATATTCTATACGAGTTTGTTTTATTTTCTTGATTTTCCCCCCCACTTCCCCCCTATGGGGGTTTTCCCGATTTTCCATTCGTATAATCGCCTATATCGCGGAGACTATAAGACCTAGGAACACCAAATTTTAGTCCCAGATGCCTTATGTGAATACGCAGAAAATGTATATTTTGGAATTCCCCTCCCTCCCCCCTCTACCCCGCAAATCGTAACTCCCGTAATTCTTGGAATTTCGAACTAAAATTTTGGAAATACCCCCAGTTGGTTATTATGTGTCCATATGCCAAGTTTCACTATGATAGACCGATTTAACAAGAAGTTATAGCCATAAATATATTTGCTGCTGCAGCGCTGCTCAAGCGCTGCTCAAGCGCTGCCCGGGGCTGTTGTTGATGTTGCTGTTTGGTTGACTGCGAAAATGCTTACACAGACACGAATAGATGCGCATAGGCATACATACACTCACACAGGCGCAATTGCTATGTAAATGTGCAATTATAAACCCTTTACGAGAGTTCGAATACCGAGAGAGGTAAAATCGATCAAATTTTTTTTTTTATTTTCTTAATTTTTTTATTTTCTATAATTATTGTAAACATATGTACAGAGTATTTCAAAGTCGGGACACCCGACTTTAGCTTTTTTACTTGTTTTTAATCTGCAATTGCGCCATTTGAGCAACATTATCTGTAAGGTGGTCGTCGCCTTGACGACGCGTCGCATCACGACACAAACCGTTTGACCAACCAAAATTAATTTCACTCAAATAAAATTATTGCAGCCCCCCACCGCAGCTCCAGCAGTCTCAGAAGCACCTCAGCGCGAAGCAATAAAATTTGTTTCCTTAGAATGCTGCCTTGCAGTCAATTCCCCCGCCCTGGCCAACCTCGAGCTGAGATCCGTCGCCAACTTACCTTCCGTTCCTATGCAACCAAGCGATGCAGCAGCGCCGTTTGTTTGCGGTTTGGTTGCGGGTGCGGGTGCGGGTTCAGGTACGGTTTCGGGTTCGTGTTCGGGTTCAGAAAGGTGAGGTGAGCAATAACAACAATAAGAACAACAACAACAGCGGCAATAGAGTAAATATATAAAAGAAATAAAAAAAAACGAGACTCGGTAAAAATAAAAACAACAAGTAAAAATTGTAATAGTAATAATAAAAGCGTGATGGCTAGCACACAAAAAAAAAGTAGAGTATATAATGACCGGAAGCGTGCGCGGCGGACACAAAATGCAACAGAACCAACACAAAAAGCCAAAGCAGAAAAAAGCAAAAAATAAAATTCAAAAAACTGCGTGGCCAAAGCATAAAAGCAAACTAAGGTAGTAAGTCCAACGTCGCACTTTTTTCTTTTCTTTTTTTTTTTGCATAAAAAGCAGCGCCAAAAATGCATAAATCAAGCAAAATTAAATTTGAGCAAAAAAAAAACAACAACAAAAATATGAATTTTATGAAAATGAAGAATGTGGCAAATATGTGAGGCAAGCAATTTGCAATTTTTGTTAGCAACGCGCTAAATGCTTTTGATAAATTACACCCGGAGAGGTGTACAAACTTAAAGCTAACATCGAGAGCTCAGAAAACCCCCTGAAATAGTAGGCGACCAAACGTGAAGAAAGGCGTGTAACTGCCCGTAAAATGGAGTTGAACTTATACATATATTTCCAAAAAGACACCAAGTATGAAATGATGTTCGAATACTGAAGTAATGGTTAGATAAGAGAGTTTGTGAATTCTTCTATAGATCTCTAGTAACAGCTTTCAGGCGAAAATCTACATTTCAATATAGAATTATTGATTTAAGCGCGAGCACAAATTTATTCTTCAAATACTAGGAATTTATCAGCTATGTATGTTACTGAAGCCTGACTTAAAGATTATTCCCCATCATTGCCAATAAATTAACCTACATGAATTCTGATCCATATTTAATTATCCTCTTAGCTACCAATTTGATGTACAATTTAAGCCTCTACTCAAGGTACAGAAGAAAACTCATTAATTTAAAAATATCACACTAATATTTTCGTATAAAAATTACAATAAATAATTTACAAAAGCTCGACTGAAAATTGCGGATTAAAATTAATATCGAACGTAGTTAATTTTGAGTTGAAGTGTTTTTCAAATATCAAAGTGAATGTGATTATATATAGATATAATATAGATTAATTAGGCCTCTAATACTCTTTAGCAACGCCAAAAATCTCATTTCACGATAATATTGTACTTAGCCCAGCTGATTCCTGTGGAATTTAAATTAAGTACTTGAGAAAGGCAAAAATCATTAAGAGAGATTAAACAGCAATTTTAGGTTAAATGCCAGGTCTTCATCTACAGGCTCTGACTTGCTTATTCAGAATATGAATAATTTAGTTGGCTTATAGGATGTGTACAAAGTTACAATTTGTAGAAAATTAAAAAAATTTATTTAGATATACATACAACATTTGGCTGGCTTACTATTTCAACGACAAATCATTCCTCAGATCTTCCTACTGCACAGACGAATTGACATTTTTAAAGCTAATAAATAAATTTATTTCTGTTACTTTGTGCAATATTTTGTGAAATGCTTTGACAATTAAGCAGATTATGCCACAAAATTAATGTTTCCAGAACGAAATTAGCTTGCTTTTGTTTGCAAGAATTGAGATCAATAAATGTGCATGTTTCAGCATCAGTTCAACTACATTATTAACCACAACTCCTAGCATTTTATCTAATTAATAGCATTTATGTGCAAGACGAACTCTAAGGGGGATAATCAGAAACCGCAGACGAAGCATTCAGCTTTGATTTACTTTTAAGCACGTCTTAGCTATGAATGTGGCATCTTAATGCACATAGAGTGCATGCATTATTTGCTGTGGCGTCTTTGGCAAATAACATATTTATCAAAACTTTTATTACCCTCGCACATAAACACGCAAGTCCCCCATCTGCCCCATCTGCCCCAGCACCCGCACTCACGAGAACTAAAGTCAACCATGATGGCAAAGGATATGAAAAACACCCGGACACGCTCGCGTTGGCTCGTCTTTTGTTGTATTTAACAAGCAGGGAAATAAAATTTGCAACTTAATTAAAATTCTACACAGTTTCGATGTTTGTTTACTTTGCTTCCGCCCCGCAGGCATAAGGAAACAAGAATGCGAAAAAAAGCCAAGAAACACGAGCGCTAGAAAGAAAGAGAAATGGTGCAAAAGAAAAATGATCTCCTGTGCATAATTTACAGTTTTGCCTTACGCCAAATCTCAAGTATACACTTAACCATTTTCTACTTGTAAACTGTTTTGAGAGCAGGCCGCAACAAAAAAAAAAAAACAAGTATACGTATGTATTATATATTCCTTTGAGGCCTGTGAGGGCTGAGGCAGGCTGAAAAAATAAAACGCTTTTCCTATGTAGCCGTACCCGTCGTTGGCAAATCTGTAAGAAAAATGATTGTGGGGATAAACCCTTTTTATGTGCGACTCGCAGTAGGGGTATGGGTGGGGTTGGTGGTGGTGGTGGACGGTTCGAGCCTGTTGGCACATTTCGAGCGCTAGCTTTAATTTTTCGGTAATTTGCATTTAAAAGCCGTTGCCGTTGCCATAGCCGTTGCTTTTTCTCTCCTATTTTTTATTTTATTTGGTTAAGTGGACTCTAGAATTTATTAACGCCCGGCAAGCAGAGCATTTTATATTTCTCATTTCATACATTAAGTGCTGGAGCAAACGTTTGCGCGCCTTGGCATTGATACAAATATTTTTTAATGCAACCACCTCCCCCACAAAGCAAGCAAACGAATGAATGGATGAATGGATGACTGAATGACTGACTGACTGACTGACTGAATGAATGAATGAATGAATTTGTAGAGTGGCGGCTGCAAACAAAGGATAAAGCAAAAAAAATACAAATTATGCAAATTAAAAGCGAGTTTTTGGGGCGCGCACGAATAAAATGAAAAATATGGCGAAGCAATGAAGCAAACCCGGAGCATTATTTAGTATGCTCTCTAAGTGAGTTGTTCTTTACTGTTATGAAGTGGATGACTGCTTAACTGCTGAGCGGTGGCTTCGGGGTGTTTGTTGTGGGTGGGTGGGTCTTAAATGAAGTGCCCGCCCAACACATTTGCAGCATCCATTAAGATCAAAGCGTGCATTACAGCCAAAGCTCACGAGCTGGCAAGTGAGTTCTGCTGTGAGTTCTCGGGTGAGTTCATTCACCTGTTGCTGCCAATGCTGCCAATTCCAGAGATGTGCTTTAAACCACGAATCTTACAAGCTAAGTAATTACAATTATTTGTTAGTTAATGATGCTCAAAAGCGCAATTATTAGTAATAAACACTGATCAGCTCAGCAAAAAAAAAAAAACATAAATTATTATCTGCATGGCAAGCGACGATATACAAGTATTTATGTACCATATGCATTTATCAAAAACCACTTAGGCGAGCAGCTGGCCCCCAAAGTCATGGACACGTTTTATCCGTGTCCATAAGTCTGTTGCCCTTTTCACTATCTGTATGTATTTATGGATGTTTGTACGTACCTTGCGATTCGATGACTCGAAGCTGGGCAGAAAGGCGGCAAAGGAGCCCTCCAACAAATCCGGATTCCCGCAAATGGCATGCGAAGTGTCACAATAGTACGAGCACTTGCCATGGAAGCATAAATTCAAGGATGGCGAAACAAAGAACGTCTTCAATAAATTCTCGTCGGCCAGTTGATAAATTTCTGTCGTAATGTTCAGTGTGCGACCCGCCACGGGCATGGCACGACGAAAGCCCAAAATTCTGCAAATGTTTTTCAATAAAAGAGGGGAAGAGGAGAACGTTAAATAAAAACGCAAACGCAACTGTGTTGAAACAAAATGCCAAACACACCAAAAATGAAAACAAAAAAAAAAACTTGTAATGAGTGCGTGTGAAAGAAATACAGCAACAAAAAAATTTATGAAAATAATGCTCGAAAATTGCTTTACAAGTGCTCGACCAACGTCCAAGCATATGTCTCACTGACCATCGAGGGCTGCACAATGGCAGAAAACCTTAAATGCCAATGAAGGTTATGTGAATGTGAAAGGCTTTCTGCTCACTGACTTATAATTCCATGTTACCCACACTGCAATCTTTAAGTAAAAATCTTAAATACAAACAGGCCAATACAGCTATAGAAGATAAGGACGAATATCGGTATATAAGTATAACTAGTATTTTAAGCAATTGATTAATAATTTAATATATTGAATTCAACAAATGTTGGTATTTTTTTATTCTTAATAAGCATTTTTCTTTCCTATTTACTTCTTTTTTTTTTTGATTGCTTGAAAAGTATTCTATTAAAGTATTCTCGAAGCAAAGTATTCTCAAAAGAAGGGTCAACAAATACGGCTTTAAGTATTCTATGCCATTCCAATCTCAATTGTGTTATCGTTATGTTTAAGATTATTTATAAATTATAGGAATTGTTATTGGAATCATTCATCTCAAAAGCTCTGATAACTCTTTCACAATAACTTCTTTCCGTAATTGCTAAACATAAGCCTATTTAGCGATTAGGGTCACCAGTTTATAAACTATCTATACTAGACTGTTCGAATATAATTGAAATTTAATTTTATTATTTCATTATATATTATTTTATTTAATAAAAGAAAAACTTCTGATTGACCCTCAACGTAAATTGGAAATTCTCAGGAGACAATACAATGATTAGTTTCTGGAAGAAAATTGTGAAACGAATTACGAGTCTCAATAAAGGCGAATGAATGAATATCTTCAAGCTGGCAGTAAGAAAGAAAATTGTTCTGGAATCTGACGTAGTTCTAGATATACCCGCATTAACTAGAAAAAAACAAGTAAAAAAGCTAAAGTCGGGTGTCCCGACTTTGAAATACTCTGTACATATGCTTACAATAATTATAGAAAATAAAAAAATTAAGAAAATAAAAAAAAAAATTTGATCGATTTTACCTCTCTCGGTATTCGAACTCACGTAAAGGGTGTATAATTGCACATTTACATAGCAATTTCGTCTGTGTGAGTGTATGTATGCCTATGCGCATCTATTCGTGTCTGTGTAAGCATTTTCGCAGTCAACCAAACAGCAACATCAACAACAGCCGCGGGCAGCGCTGCAGCAGCGCTGCATCAGCAAATATATTTATGGCTATAACTTCTTGTTAAATCGGTCTATCATAATGAAACTTGGCATACGGACACATAATAACCAACTGGGGGTATTTCCAAAATTTTAGTTCGAAATTCCAAGAATTACGGGAGTTACGATTTGCGGGGTAGAGGGGGGAGGGAGGGGAATTCCAAAATATACATTTTCTGCGTATTCACATAAGGCATCTGGGACTAAAATTTGGTGTTCCTAGGTCTTATAGTCTCCGAGATATAGGCGATTATACGAATGGAAAATCGGGAAAACCCCCATAGGGGGGAAGTGGGGGGGAAAATCAAGAAAATAAAACAAACTCGTATAGAATATACACATAACGCATCTTCGTGCAAAATTTGGTGTCTCTATCTCTTATAGTCTCTGAGATCCAGGTGTTCATACGGACGGACAGACGGACAGACGGACAGACAGACAGACAGACAGACAGGGCTAGATCGACTCGTCTTGTCACGCTGATCAATAATATATATACTTTGTGGGGTCTGCCACGCCTCCTTCTGCCTGTTACATTTTTCAGCTCCCGCAAACCTAATATACTCTTGTACATTTCATGTACAGAGTATAATTATTGTAAAATCCTGGAGCACTAAATGTTGTCCGAGTTCTGTCAGGCGGTGTACCACCAACTCTCGTTGGTCGAAAATCGAGAAATTTTAGAGCTAGAATCACTTTTGGGAGCCCACACAAGCCCAGTAAGCCTGAACTCAAATGCCAGCCTCCTCAGCAGATTAGCAAAGAAAGTCCGAGGCCAAGGCAAGTTTAAAACACTCTTAAAAGCTGAAGAAATGTTGACTGCTGTTTGTCATCTACACAGATACTTGAACACAAACCAAAAATATACCCCAAGATGGTTCTACGAATCCTGAAACAACTAGGAGAGTTTCCAAATAAGGCAACAACAAGTTTTGCATTCTGTTTCTTTTTGTTTTGTTAAACAAAAGTAGTTATACTCGCATCAGACTTGAATTTGTTCCACGGTGTGCTGTTGGCAGGAGCAGCCACAAAAAATATTATCGAAATTATTTGGCAACATGAAAAATGTTCATTGTCTGGGGTGCGCCGACGGCGTTCAGACAATGGCCTGAGGTCAGTCAGAAGGGAAATGCCATAATTTCATTTTGTGGCCGTGCTGATGTACTGCCTGCCAACCACCAATGGGCAGCCCCTAACCACCCAACAACACCACCACTACCACCGCCACCACACACCCCCACACCTAGCGCTGGGCTCCATTAGAGGGCCCCGAGCTGAAAGTTTGTCTGTGTTTGTTTCTCTGTGTGAGTGTTTTTGAGTGTGGTTGCCACAACAATTACACAAGTTATGACGGCTTATCAAAATTCAAAAATTTCCAACTTGTACTCTTGGCGCAGCGGGAGACACACGCACAACTTGCCTTATTTGCAATTAACCTTTGTGCCTGGACTGCCAAACTTTTGTCAAGTCCAGCCAGGCAACACAACTGAGCAGAACTATGCAGACAATTTGTGTCTAAATTACAACCGGACATGGACAGCAAGGACGGCAACAAACGACTTCACTTGGTCAGGCCTCTCTGTGCGAGGTTAATTATGCATGAAAAGGTCGGCTCCAGACCCAACTCCACCTTCCATTGCGGAGTGTCAAGAGTTATGTGCTCACATAATTTACATGAAAAGGCGTCTGTGTGGCTTCTTCTTCCCCCTGCTTGTATTTTCCTCCATTTTATTTTTATTTTGCAAAACATACTTAAATATCATTTAACGGCCGTCGCCGCTCAGTGTGCGTTGTCATTGCGTCTGCTGACCAGGAGGGCGGCAAAGGAAGCAGCAGCAGAGGCCGAAGGAGTTGCTCACGCGTATGTTTTTGTGGGTGTACGAGTACGAGTATTTTATTTTATATATGGCGGCCCATCATAAATAATGAACATAAATTGTCTGTGCGAATGCTAGTGGTAGTGCGGGCTCGAGCAAGTATTTATGTGGGCGTGTACAGTGGATTAGCATTTGGCTTCTAATCGTACGACGCCAGCTTGGCATAAAAATCGGTAAACTGATATAAATTTTATTTCCGCCAACTCACACGCACCCACACACTCGTACACACACAAACACATGTGCAGCTTGAGCTCAGTTAGTCCATTGGCTATTGGTCACTTGGTTCTTGGGCTGGGCTTGACCTCCATTGCGAACAGCAAATTGAATAATTTGATTGCCTTTGCCAGCCGCGGCGCCTTTTTGATGCGAATCGTGTGCAAAACACATTTCACAATCCACATACACGTACAGAACAGCCCATTACTCATATTATTGCACATATGCATGTAGGAAAATGTACATTTACTTGTATGTGTGTATGTATGTGTAGAAGTACTTTGCAGGATTTTGCTCTTAAATGGCAAACCCTTATTCAAATTATTATAATCTGAGCTTCATTCAAATAAAAACAATTTATTCCCAATCTTCGTTTTCATAGTGCGCTCCCCCTTTTTCAAAAAAATAAACAATTTTAAAAGTGTGAAAAATAATTATGCAAGAATTTTGTTTTCTATGTCTCTTTAAATTGAGGCTTCCATAGTATTTTTTAGAGTTTCATTAAAGTGTATGTTATTTGGAATTTTCATTTATCAGTCAAATTGTGCTTGCAAAATTGTTTAGTTTAAATATTTATCATTCATACTTAATCATCTTCTTTTGTCTGCTAAAATTAAATATAATGCATTGAACTACATTTGGCATTTTGAGTATGGATTAGGGATTGTAATTCAATCAACATGTTTCAGATTTTTCGTACATAAGAGAGTTGTTTTTTTGTGGATGAATATTATACTATATTTGAGTTTATTTAGTTTACAGCAATACATTTGAAATTTAACCGAGATATGTTAAATGCTGTGTGTTTGCAGAAAATTATTAATATTAATTAGGCTCTCAATATATTTTAAGGATCTACTCGACTCATTTTAGTTGATATTTTAGTTATAAAACCACCAAGTGCAACAAGTTATCCATCCCAGCCTGATTTTTCCTGGCCAAACACGAAACTAAAGTCATTGCTCAGCAACCGTAATCACTAGATTTTTCCCCGTTACTTCTTCTTGTGTCCGAAACTCAAATGTCCACTCCGATTGAGTCAATGAAAGGTCATTCCCAGAATAAAATATTCCCAGAAGCCTATTGACTTTATTTTAATTTTTATTTTATTTCGAAAATCAACAAATAGTGCTGTCGACACATATACGAAAACTATGATTTATATTATAATATAAAATAACTAAAAATATATAGCTCAAAGGCATGCTATTTTAAAGGCGCTAATAAAGATTTGTATCAAAATATTGTTTGTTCTCATTTAAGCAGTCCTGGTCAAATTTAATCCGATGGCATATAGGCACGACAAAAAGACTCAATACGAACACTTATGAAAATCCTAAACGAAGCAGCTTTGTAGTTTATGCTCGTAGTAGTGGTACTGATAGGTTGAAAGATATAACAACATTTCAACTGCTGTTTATCGTTTGTAGTCTTAATAATATAAAGTAATACCCTCCATTAATTCAATACAACTTGAAATAAACTACCTAAGTTTCTATACAAAAAATAAAACTAACCTATAAAAAATAACTATGAAAAGGGATTCAAAATATGCGAACGAACAAATCATATGAATTGAATGCCAATACATGTAAGCAATTGACTGTAAAAACTTTATGTCACTTCCATTTGTTATTAGGATTCGTCTAACCAGCAAGCACAGCTCTCTTGCCGACTTTGTATTATCATTGCTCTAATTAGAAAACTGAACACTTTTTTAGCCACAACACAAAAGCTTTAAATAATGACATCAGTATTTGCATTTATGCAAAAAAGTTGCCATAGCTACAAATCAAATTGTAAATACTTGTACAAGTATGTGGAGGGTCATACGCAATGGCAACCGCAATTCAATATTGCATATATCTAACAATAGCAAATTATATTATATTTTCAAGTATATTATAATAATTGCATGCGAGATTGTTCAAAGCTTAATGGTTGCCATGACAGTAGCCAGCAAAAGCACTTCAACCGGAACAAAAGGAAAAAGCAGAAGGAGCAGGAGCAGGAGGCGACACACTTACCTGTCCAAATGAAATGCAGCTATCTCCGCATTGTGACGCTCATAGTCCGTGAAGTAGAAATGATTGGGCAATGTTTGCTGATCCCTGGGAAAGCTGCAAAGGGAAAGAATGTGAGTTAAGTGCCAACATGAAATGAATTGAAAGTACGACAAAAAGTGCGGGTCTCATGCATTTGCCTGCAACCGCCACTTGCCGACTAGAGGAAGGACGAAGAAGCCGTCCTAAAAGGAGCAGTGGGTTCTCCATCTGCCCCAACCACCTCCACCTGCCTGCATTGCAACGTGCCAGTGCGCTTAATTACTGACACAGCAACACGGCGGCAATTTAAAAAAAGGAGGAAGAAACGTTTTCATTTAAATTGTAAATGCACAACATTAAAAGGACACTTTACACTTGGCCAGCGTTGCGGCTGCGGGCAACCACTGCACTAAAAAAAAAACCGGTAAAACGCTTCAAGCAGCACGTTTAAATCTCATTAAAAATTGAATAAATGTTTAAATTATTGCCGGCACATGCTACCTACAGACGGCGCTTGCTCGAACCTCCAATTCCTGCTGTTGCCATTCAGCTTTAAATGCAGCAAAATTTTCTGCAGCCGCAAAAAGTCAGCATTGCATATAAGTCGACAAATTTATTTACTCGCCGAAAAATGTGTTGACAAGCCGAAGCAGTGGGAAAGCTATTGCACACTAGTGTGCATAAGTATGTTGATGGCAGTCAACCTTCACTTAAGTGCCTTTTGTTCTTTGTCTAAGACAGGCCCAAATTGGAGGTTCAATCTCTCAATAAAACAAACTAGATAAGATATATTATTTGTTTAAGAAAAGTATGCCATGTTTGAAATTCTAAAAAAAAGGGTCGGTGCCTTGTACGATAGGTGATAATATTATTTGAGTATACGTTAGGTTGAGACATTAATAATTTATTATCATATGATTTTTAAAATTACAATTAGGTAATTATACAACTGCGTTTTACGGTTATATATATTTTATCGTAATGGTTGTTGATTCCCAATAAAGTAATTTTTGTGTTTCCCTAAACCCCGACAGAAATATGTGAGCCCTAGTACGAGGACCATGTTCATCTTTTATGTCGGTACGCAAACATTGAATATCCTTGAAAATAAACAACCGATTTTCAAGTATGAGATATTTTTATTTAATTTGGTTCTATACAATTTCTTGAACTGAGGTTTTCAACACTGGTCTACTCAAGTTAATCAGTTCACTAATGACAAAGTTATTCAATATCTACATACCGACATAAAAGATGGCGCAAATCCCACGCAACAGACTTTCGGAAACAGACTGTCAGCAACAATTTGAAAGATATAAAAGATAAGTCTTTAATAGAGCTACCTCTATTTCAAATTTCATTTTAATCGGCTCATCCCTAGACAAATTAAAAGCTTACTAAGCATCCAATAGACGCAATTGGCATTCAATGAAATGTAAAACAATTTTACTCCACAAGACGGCAAAATGGACTGGTCTCTGGAGGCCACCAAAGCTTAAAGATCAATTAACTATAAAGATGTGATCCTGGCCATTTATAGGAACCCTGAGTGTCAGCGCCAGTTCCAAGGTCTAAAAGCTAACCGTCTATGCGTTAAAATCGAAGGATATAAGGGTATGTATTTCATAAAGCCTGATCGCCAAATGTATGCAAGATTTCACACAGAAAATAGTTAAAAAGGCCAGGGCAGACCTCATTTTAAAAGGCAATTAGACAATTGCAGCTCAAAACATTTCTGATATCAATTTCTTTTCGGAAACACAAAGTCTTTTCAGTTCTAAATAAAATTATTTTCTTTTTTTTATTAAAATCTGTGCAATACATAACTGAGAAGATGAGTACAGAAATCCATCTGAGTACCGGAAACATTTTTGTGTATTATGACATTTTTATAATACCGGACCAAAAGCTGAAGAATTATCAAAATTAGTTCACCATATCATATTTTTATTATATGATAATTAATTAAGTTGTTATAGATTTGGGATACAGGTTGAAATTATTGTTGTGGCAAAATATATATCTCCATTTTCGAAGCTTAAAATTATTTACTTTTTCAAACGGAAACGCCGGCATTGCATTGTAAGCAGACTTGCAATGGACGGTGTGTTTCTATAAATCCAATTTTTATTAATTATTGTCGGAAAGTAAATGCAGACAAACGCGCTGAGTGTGGCAAGCGGACACAAATTTCCGGCCTGCCGACCAGAGAAATGCATTTAAAATTGTAGCCACAACATTAATCGCGAGCTGGGTATATGATGGCAACGTAAACTTGCATACTCACCGCATGGGCTTCATTAACGCCTTTATATCGTGGGGATACTCGATGATCAATTTCAGTTGGGTGCCGCCCTCCTTTTGAGCTGCAGAATGGGAAGAGAAATTGTATGAGATAAACGACAACTTGAGAACGTTTGGTGAATAAGATGTGTATAAAGTACATACGTATATATATAAAATGCAAATGTGAATAGATATATGTATGTGCGTGTGGACACTGCTTTAATTAATGCAGAATCTCTGGAATACAATGAACCACAGCAGCATCAAAATGCTACACACTTGGCTGGACAAAAAGGCTTGGGAAATTTGGCATGAAGATGCATCCATTCTGCCAATCATTAAAATTGCTATAAACCAAAAACCCATGAACTAATTACACTTGACTAAATTGCAATTAAAATTGCGTAAGAGCAAAAAAATATTCTACGCCACACTGGCTGCTGGTAAAAAGCATATAAATATCTTCGTATATGCTGTGTATTGGTGTCTGTATATGTCAGTGTGTGTGTGTATGTGTGTGCGTGTGTGTACAGTCGACTGAACATTTGCCATTACAATAATAGACATATCAAAAGCATATTTTTGCTGCAGTTCTCATGCTGACCATAAATGAAATTACAGGCAAAGTTTTGTGAACAGAAAACAAGAAGCAAACCGCAGCAAAAACAACAACAAATGCAAATGGCCAAACATTCTAAGCTGGAGCCCAAGACTGGGCTTGAGTCTGACCATTTGTAAGCGCATAAATAATATTAGAATGCTGGCAGAGAAAACAATGGCACAAAACAATAAACTGCCAAGGCATATTCGCATATTCTCATATTCGCATTTGCACTTGCGCATTACTTTGAATTATGACTAGAAGTTTGGACAAGAATGCACCCAGGAGAGGGAAGTGGAATAAATTCTGTGCTCGTTAGTTGTGTAACTCACATAAAAGTTACTAGTTTAGTGCGCTTTTTGTGTCAAACCAAAGACCAATAAAGCCAACTACAAGGCCAACGCGGCGTATACGTGATATATGTTGCGACAACGCACTTTTCATATGCAATTTATGCCCAGCTTGCAATTATTCTCAAACAGCTATGTAAACAATATCATTGTTGTTGTAATTAATTTGTTGTTCTTGTTGTTGTTGCAATTGTTGGTGAAGTTGCTGAGTTTTACACTTTGACTTGCTTATATTAATTTCTCGCACAGCACTCGCGCTCAGCAAGCAAAAAAGTTTACTATTAATAAATTACGAGTATAATAAATGCGAAAAACTTTCAAATGAAAATAGTTTGCGCTTTAAGGCAAAGCCTGCAAGGCTGCAAGGTGCTGACTCAATTGTGTTTGCCAAGTTTGGTAGCTGGCAGCAACTTTACTTCCGTTTTTACACGCTTCATAATTGACTCAAACAGACATCCAAGAAAGTTTTCAACAAATTCAAATGCTGCCAGCAAAAAGAAAATGTGGGTAATTCCTGTAGAGAACGTGAATGATTCAAATGCATTTATGCCTAATCATGGCCAAAGTTCGATACTTACCCACATGTTGTATTGGCAGCTTGATCATGTCACGTATAACCGCATCCACCAGAGTGTCATGCTCTCCATAGAGTTCCTTTTTTGTGATGCGCAGTTGGAAGCGCTCCAAATTGCTCGCATTGGCTCTGCAAAAAGGGAAACAAGCGGGAAAGGAGTAAAGCAAATGTGGCAAAGAAGGCGCAAAGAATGTAAGGCATGACAGCCAGCTGTCAGTGTCAAACATAAAGACCAATCAAAGCGGCGTTTGTCGAAGACAATCAAGCGATGACAGTACTGCGTCCTTAGCCATTTCCGGCCAAATCTGTCCTTCATGATATCCATCAGCCCAAAAAAAAAAAACAGAAGTACGTCCGAAAACTGTCCTATTTGGAGCTTCCATCACAACTGACAGTTAAATGTAACCAACAAAGTGACAGAATTAGTAAAGGGAATTGTCAGATTAAGTGCTCGTTGGAGTTAACAGTTAAATTGAATGAGCAGCCTTTAATAGGCTTGAACTAAATTGCTTCGTTCCTGAAACCCTTATGCGCACTTTTCTGTTTGTCAAAAAATTTCAATTAATGTAGCTTAGAAAAGTTTGCCAAGACTTGTGTGCTTATTGTTTCAAACATTTCATTGTTGTATTTTTAGGCATTGTGCTCTAATTTAAAGAAAGATACCCACACAGAGTATTTACAAATTTTAAATTGTTTCAAATTTTTTTTTACTTTGCAAATATATACAAGTATGTATGTATAGATCCTGCAGATAATGCGTTCATTTCAGAGAAATAAATATATTGTCGGTTAATTAGTTTGAAAAAGCTCTAAAATAAATTCACAAAATGACTTAAAAATCTTAAACTCATTATAGTTTTTCTTTGTAGAAAATATTTGTTTTAAATAAATAAAATAAAACTACTATTCCAGATATTTTATTTTAAGCATTTAGATTTTTTCCCCGCCAACTATACATATGTATGCCAAAGAGCAGCACCACTAGACAGTAACAAAGACATTTTCCAAAAACAAAAAGGGGGAAAAATGCACTTCAACTACTCAGTGCCTGCATACTTATGAACGCGTTTCTTTTTGAGTACACACCCCGAATTGCCATAATGATTGTCGCATTGATTTGTCAAAGCAGCCGGCGACATGCCGGATATATCTTTGTGGCCATTGCTGTCTTCCCCTTCGGCAATTTGGTTTGCAAATTGTGCCCGCCCATCCGCTGCCAAGATCGTGCACCGTCAATTTTACCGTTCATCATCAATAGGCACACGCATCTTGGAACGCTGTAATCTTTGGCTTGCACTTTACGTTTACGCGACAAAAAACTGTTGCTAGGCAGTTGCCAGTTTTGTCTTTGAATGTTGCACAGATTTCCTGCTACTAGTATTTCTGAAGAGAAACTGTGAGCAAAGGCTGAATTTTTCGTTTCCTAAGTAGAACACGTTATACGCCACACGTGTGTGCCATTGTATGTGTGTGTATATATATATATATATATATATATGTGAGTGTTCATTTGTCGGCTTATGTCTTGCTCCAGTCCATGTGCATTTTCGCTTTATTTCTGTAGCAGTTTTGGTTTTTACCCGCACGACTTTTGATGCTGAAATTGGAATCATGTAGTTTGTTTAAGTCGTTCTACCTTCCCCTCCTTCTCTCTCCCTCCTTCACAGCTATCGTCCCGCACCTATTCTTTTGACAAGGGTTTCACTTATGCTGAGTTGGCTGGTTTAGCACAAAACCGATTGAAAATCAACGTTTAATATGCTACAAATGTCGACAAACGCCTTCTTGTGAAAGCCGGTTTGAAGGCTTATGCGAGTGTGTTTTGCGGCTGGGGGCAAAAAATTGTTGCATACTTCTAGGCTGCTGCTTTTTGCAGACAAAGCATGTGGTTCTGATAAAATTTTATTATTTTGGAATTGAAATTCTAAACATCATGTGCACGCATGTCAACGTCTGCATATCGTATTTTTAGTAAACCTTGACTATCATTTATCTCATATTTGAAAATCGTTCATATTCATTTGAAAGCTGCTTAATTGGCATTGAAAGGTGCCTATGCTGTTCATTTATTGGTTGTTAGTTTTAATTCATATGTATGTGCTCACATATGTATGATTTTTATGGCCCTTCGCAGGATTGGCGTCAATAGAGCATGGACTATATTCCGTTTGTTTAGCAACTTAAAAGACACATTTCTCTTTTCTATGCCAGCGAAAATTGAAAACGTTGAAATGAAATTCATGATTTTTGACACAGAACCAAGGCAATAGGTTTTTAAGCAAAATACTTAAATATTACCCATTATTTTTCCATCAGCAATTTAGAATCGTCGCAGCAAAAACAGGTTGTCTTAATTAATCTTAATTCATACAAATTCTATAAGAGACCCATTTATAATATGCTGCAAGTTTCAAATGATTTATGATGTAAGCAAACTCACATGCTTAAACGTAATTGCTTAGATTCCAGCATGTCTAAAAAGTTTGATTGAATACGAAAGAGTTCTCAGCCATGCACTGCACTTTCTGATTAGTCTCGAGAAAGTTACTCTGATACTCGTATAAATGTGTGTAGTCTTACAAAGCAAATACTTGTACTGCCTGTCCGACTTAGTGTTCAAAAGAAATTGTTGTGTAAAGTAAACGAAATATGAACTGTGCTTTGTGCTCAACAGAATGTGAGTAAATAATATGCAAAATTTTTCATCCTTGCAATGAAACGAATTACAATTTCTGAAGAAAAAAACCATGTCTACCTAGCATTATGCCACATCCCTTTATGATATTAAGAGAAGCAAAGCATTCTAACTGGAAGTATGGCAAATTGAAGGGGAACATTCCTTCTTTTTAAGCAGACACGCACCATCATCAACAGCCACGGTCTGACAATACAAGTATATACAGACACCACTCTCTAAGTGCATCGAATACATGAAAAAGGATCAAGCGTGAAAGAGTTGAAAACGAGAACCCAACCCGACGGTGCCAAGCCGTGACCAATGTCGTCTGTGCGCATTGTGCGTCATGTTTATCACGATAATGTAGTACTTCCGTGCAACGGTCCGTGTGGACGCACGTCCGTTGGTCCTCCGGCTCTGACTGAGCTCGCGTAGCTACATTGCCATATCCGCTCCTGTCGTCGTTGTTGTTGCCATTGTCGTTGGCATTGTCATTACGAGTACTACCACCAACTTCTACAGTGTGACATTTTAGTGCTTTAAAGCGGCATTATTAGAACCATTTCTTCAATAGACTGAACAAGTGGCTGTTGTAATATAATATAGCACAAAATATTTGAAATTAGTTTAATTCCTTTCAAAGGATGTAATTACATGGCATTTCAATCTTATTTCGTTGTATTTTTAGACTGCTGTACTATAAGATCTACCGATTTGAAATGGTTTGATTATTTCTTAAGGTGCATCTATCACGAATTCCCAACAAAGTCATCCAATTTGGGGAACATTACAGAATGTTGGTTTAATAAAAATTCGAATTATTTATTCTTATTTATTTAAAGTAGGAGTTGCCAATTGAAACCATGCTTCGTGAGTAAAAATCTTCTAGAAAGTCTGATGTTTCGTTATTGTATTTATTCATAACGAATCAATGATTTAAATCCATTGACATTCTAGGGGAAATCTGTTTCTTGCAATCCCCGAATCATTGCAAAAAGTCACAATGTGCTTGACTGAGCTTACTACTCTACTGACTGCTTGGCTAGCTGACTCACTGGCTAGCTTTCTGGTTGTCTGGCTGGCTGACTCAACTCAATGCCTTCCACTCCTTTTCATAATTTGCTTGTTGACGTCTGCTGATACTTCAACCCTGCCAGCAAGACCGCCCACCCAGTCCAGCAGCATTCGAAGAGCTTTTATGCTTTTGTCAGTTTGCCAGTCAGGACAGTGGGAGTGGGCAAGCAAACAGCCCTTAACCTTTTGTTCTAGGAACAGGCAGGCTGTCAGGCAGCCAGGCAGCAGCTGCCAGGAAGGAAACAAATGTCTAAGAGCGCGCAAGTAAGCACAAAACCCCTTTGGGTTGCCGGCACAAAATGACTTTCAATATTTTAACTTTTTATGGAAATGGCGACAACTTCCTGGCCCCACTGCCTGCCAGACTGCATGTAATGAGCGTGTTAGAAAAATGTCAGTCTAGATATCGGTAGAACAGAAATACGTGGACGCCATTGTGCAGCCCTGATAAATTGGCAGCTTGCATGCCACTACGTGATGGCGTTTTAAATTATTAAAGCGCACTTTGTTCACAATTAGAAGCGACGGCAACGCCAGCTACAATTGTCATGGAATTGACCGCAAAAGGCGGTCTTACCGCACTAAGAAATTGACAAGGGTTCGCCGCCGGCGCCGTCGCCGCCACTATAAGTATAGCCGGCACTCTTCAACTAAGTGCGGTCGACACTTTACAATAAAGCAGCTGCAAGCCACACCACGCACTCAACATGCCTTCATGCTTCATTCAACACCACTGTCGTCATGGCCGAGTCAAAATTCTGCGTATGTTTCATTTGTCAAATTTGCCACAGGCCCTCCGCTCCTTGCCCGACCTGCTGACATGCAGTGGTCCTGACGCTCCTGTAATTGATGAAGTGGCCAATTTTAGACATTGACTGAGTGCCAGGCGCTCGCCACTGGCCAAGTGGTGCATTCTCTGGTTAGTGGGTGGTTAGTACTTGTATGCCTGCGGTCTGCTGACGCCTTGATAAAATGTTTTGCACATAGTTTCCAGGCTGTTGCGCCAACTATTGCTAAGCGTGCTGCTCCTCTATGCCAGCGTTGCTAGTTTACAAACAGGATTTTAAGAAAAAAAACTTTGCAATTCAGTTACGTAAATCAGATGCAACAAAGCCCCCATCAGTCAATCGTTTTGGTATCTGTATCTCCTGTATTTAGAAGAATGTATTCATTACCTACATTTTCGTTAGAAATTTAAATAAAATTAGTTTCCAAAATCGATTCTAAAATCGCAAGACTAGAGAAATCAATGCTTTGCGGAAAATTGCGAACTTATTATATTTAAATTTATTTCCAATTGCAATTTATATTGCGCTTAAATATTTCAATTCGACCAACAACCAGACAAAAAACATATGAAATTAATAAAATGAAGCAA